ACCAAAAATGGGTTCATACGCCATTTATTTCCTCAGGATTTTGGAGCCCCTGTTCACCATTGGTTTGGAATGACGGTTCTCCTATTCGACTAGGTGAACCCTCGATGTTCATCAACTCGGTTACAGTGTCGGAAATTCTCTTTACGTCCTCTCAATTTCGTAAACAATACACCCGCCACAAGAAGGCGGTAAGTAGGATTTCCCTGGCAGTGGCTATATATGCGTAGCCATGTGAGAGCGTGTGGAGAGGAATAGCTGACTCTCCTCACCCTCCATCATACCAGGGCATTGAGGGGCTACAGTTTTTAAATGTGGATATGTAATTTTTCACAATAAGGACATTTGATTCAATAAGATAACAAAGCTTCACCTACTAGAAATATGGATTCATACTTCTCAAAATGTTTCGAACTGGGTCAAATTAGTCCTGAAGTCGACATTAGTTTTTAGTTTCTTCCGATCAAGGTCAATTTTGAACTTAATCAATGTTTTGTACTTTTACTCAAACATAAAATGTGACTACTGTTTATTCGGTTCAAGTTATTCAATGTACAGATACAATCAGTTATTACTGAACAGTTTTGTTCAGTAGGATGTTAGTCTTCCGCATGTCCTTGACCTTATTGGTTTAATGATTTTCACATAAATAAAAATAATGATGAGTGAATTAATGAATACAGATAAACAAAAAAGTAGATCAGATTAGATCTTAGCTGATGTAGTTCATCTACTTGTTAAAGTTCATGTTGCTTTCAATGATGTTTGTTAAATCATTGAATGTGATAATGATTCGAGGTTCTGTACGCGAAATGTTTCCGGAAACAATCACATTCAATGAGTTAGAATTCAACGGTCTATATTTTTACAATTTCATTCAACGATCATCATGTACAGGTATCGGTAGACTCAATCAGTCAGTCAGCTACAACGTAGGACCAGGCACATATGTGCATCGGTCCAGGTTGCCATACTGCATCAGCACAACAAGATGAACACCGGATTCATAGCAGTGGTTATGTCAAAGGTGGTAACATCGAATACTGTGATGAAAAACACTTTAACTCATGCTGTCTTCCATGAAGTTTATGTCAATAATAATTATTTGTTTTATTACTCATCAGAATGTCTGATAATTCCATCCCTATTCACACACACACACATACGCCATTTTCATCCACTGAGAGGACTGAATCCATAATAAAGATTATAAGGAGACAGTAATTACCACCCAGCAACAATTTTTTTCTTTTATATAATTAGATAAAATTTAGAATAAATTCACTTGGTTTTGTTTGCTTGTATTTTCTCATTGTTGCTTAGGACTGCAATTGATCAGTCTCTAATTGGCGTACGTATATGCTGTGCGGATTGCCTTATGTCACAAGAATGATAATTCAAGATGGATAGTGGCTAGTAGTAGAATTCAGGACGTGCGTTTTATTATATTTGGTATACAGTATCATTCGCTCCAAACGCCATCGCGTTATTTGTCTCATTGCACAATCAAGTGGCTATCAGGACTGGGTTCGAGTCCTAGAGTGAACATCAACTCTGAAATGTAAATACATCCAGCTGACGAATCCTAAAAATGACGAAACAAGCGTCTTGGATTCCGTTGCTAACCACCATCCAACTTTACTTTAAAAAATTTAGAATAGTTAGTTGTAGAATTGTGAACTATTTACAGGCTTTTAGACAATTATTAGACATTTTGTCTAAAGTTACTATAAGGAATAACTTTTCTGAAGAAATTTTCCAATAACTTAACTAACGAATTTGAATAGTTGAAATCATGAGTAATTGAAGCTAGACCACCATGGAAAACCTGGAAGCACTGGACAGCTGAATTCAAAACAACTACCGATCAACTAATATCAAAGTCAGAATCTTCAATACAAACGTCAAGACAGTCAGTTGTACTGTACGAAGCTGAAACGTGGAGAACTACCACAACTATGATCAAAAATGTACAAGTATTTATAAACAATTTTCTACACAAGATACTTAATGTCCGTTGACCGGATAAGATCAACAACAGCCTACTGTTTGAAGAGGACTAACCAACTTCCAGCTGAAGAGGAAATTAGGAAGACAGTGGAGTCGGATAGGACATACATTGAGGAAACTACCAAACTGCATTACGAGGCAAGCCCTAACTTAAGATCCTGAAGGAAAGCGGAAAAGAGGAATGCCGAAGAACAAACTGTGCGGAGAATCGAAAGTAGACATCAAAAAGATGAGTAGCAACTGGAAACAACTGAGATGGATCGCCCAGGACAGGGTTGGATAAAGAGTGCTTAGGCGTGGCCTATGCTCCGCCATGAGGGGCAACGGGTGTAAGCATGTATATATATATTCTAACTTGAGTACTCGACGCTAGAACACTCCCAAGTCGCAAATGACAAGATAGAAGACAAATGAAAGTGATGCTATTACAAACAGTGTCAAATATGGTACAAAACTCTCAGGTATTTATGGTTTTCTCTGTAAACACGAAATCTCCAACGCGCATACAGGGGTTTTTTTAACATTTGTCTAATAGGGAAGCTACATGTAGGGATTATGGAATCTTTTTTCAAAAGATGGTTAAATGGAATATCTTCGACTCTTTCTGAGCTTCCTCTAGTTCATTCGCCTGCCGTCTTCACGTAATTAATGTTTAATACATTCAGATTTATTCATTAGTTAGACAGTTCAAATGATATTACAGTTTATTATTGACTTGATGGATGAAAAGTGTTAGAGTTATTGAGTTCTCTGAAATCTATGATTTAGTTATGAGGCACAATAGGAATATTCCTAATATGTCTATATAATAAACCAATATAGATGTCAAGTAATTCTTGATTTGTATTTAATTTTAACCAGGTTTTTACGAAAATAACAATCAATTCAATGAAGAAATATCATGAATAATATACAATCTAACTACAAAGGCATCACTCACCTCTCAATATTGGGAAACGTTTTCAATAGGGTATTGTTAAACAGAATAAAGGACTCCGTAGATGCCCAACTTCGAGACCAACAGACAGGATTCTATAAGGATCAATCGTGTACCAACCAAATTGTAACACTATGGATCATTGTAGAACAATCAACTGAATGGAATTCACCACTCGACATCAATTTCATTGACCATGAGATAGCATTTGATAGGGTGGACAGGACAATACTATGAAGGCTTCTTCGACATTATGATGTGCCTGAGAAGATAATTAACAACATACAGAATTCTTATGATGGATTACACATGACATTGAGAAATGGAAACAGATATGAGAAGAATGAACAATAATTGTAGAAAACTAGAACAAAAAGCCCAGGACAGAGTGGATTGCAGAATGCTGGTCGGTGATCTATACTCCATTGGAAAGGGGGTAACAATTTCACTGAGTCATAAACTCACATTAAAAAGAAGATCTTGTAAGAAAGAAATTTCTTTTCGGGAACTAAATCAACTAAACATTTCAATAATGCACTCAATAAAAGAAATTTGTAAAACATACAGTCACCATAAAGTATATTTACTCAATAAAATCTTGGTTACCTTAGTAACTAAATTGTTCTGAAGAGGAAAAAAAAGAGAACAATTCAACTATTGAAATAACACGTTTAATCATTAGACTGATTTGAATAGGAGTTGAAAAATAGGGAGCATAATTTATCTAATCAAACTAAATCTGGTATAAGCAAAGATGAATAGTGATTAGCAGTAGTATTTGAGACTCGAACTCAGTACCACAAACCCCATCACATTATCCATTTAACTACCGAGTTCTGATAGCTACTTGCTTATGCAATACAATATATAGTTTAAATTCATTGAATAGTGTTTAGTTGAATCTTCCGATTGTTGTTTAGGTCCGCAATTGATCAGTCTATGGTTGGCATAGGTGCAACTTACAAGAGATTAAACCTGAGATATTCATTCAGTTCTTGTCCAAAATATGATACATAATAATGACTCATCGAGTTACAGAATATAAATAGTGAATGAAAAGAATAGTTGAAAATGGATCATTTCGAAGAGTTGCTTATCTCTAATTTACTAGGTGAGATCATGAGATAATTGAAGCTAGAACACAATGGTAAACCTGGAATCACTTGACAGTTGTTTCGTCCTAGTATGGGACTCGTCAGAAGTGCGCATTCCAATCCAGGACCTATTGGTCTTATGTACGAACACTTAAGCTCTAGACCACTGAGATGGAATTCAATGATGATCTAGTTTTAATCAATTCATGAATTCAACTAGTAAATTACTCTAACCTTCACAAAACTCTCTTATCTCTAATTCTGAAATGTTAAATGACATGTAACAATAAGAGTTTTTGACGATCGATTTTCAATTTTGACTCATTTAATCAAAAGGGAAACAGTTTAAACATGACCCGATTAATTACATGTATTGAATGTGATTTGAAAAGACACCACATGTATATATCATGATCAATAACAATGAAAGATGATTGATTGTTTCCTTGACCTACATTCGCACTTTTAATCCGTCATTTGTTCTATACAAATGGTTTTTTATAAGAAAAAATATTGAAAGTTCTAAATAGCTGACAAAAATATCTAATATTTTGAGTTATGTTTGGCACTTAACCTCTAAATGTCCTGGTACACCCGAGAGTGGCGAGAGTCAACTCTCCCACTTCAAATGCTCTCACATGGCCACATCCATACAACCACTACCAGAGAAGACTTACTCACTGCCTTCTCGTAGCGGGAGTATTGTTTACGAAACTGTTGGGATATTCAGGAAAATATCCCAAAAATTATCATGTTAAGTCCAATGGTGTCCTTGGACCTTAAATGTACATTTCCCATTGGTCGATATTTATTTAACGTGTTATTTTCCTGTTGGCCAATATTGTACAATGTTATTTTCTACTTTGTGGTACGATGTGGTTTGTTTGCTTGGTATATAAATAGAGTATGTTTGAAATATAATGATTCATATATCCGAGGCTGTGACTTGCGTTCTGGACTCCACTGGCTGGGTTAGACAGGGAAGCGAGACCAATCAGAACCCTAGGTCGTTCTACGTGTTTGTGCGTCTTTGGTCCGATCTATAATTCGCTATCCCTTAATCCGCAGCAAATATTTTTCACGTTATAACAATTGGCGACGGGGTGAAGAAAAAATACAATCCAAAGTCATTCTGTAATTGGACGAAATCCAGTCTAATTATCCAACCAATCAGCATCCAGATTGTCGTCAGTGTCCTTCAACGACATTGGTCATTAGTCATACAGTAATTTTCATCACAGGTGCTGATTCGAAAAAATGACTCTCCCTTCCGATCGATTACAGCTGCTCTATGAACGACATTTGGAGTTATTAGTCAAATTCCGCACGCAGCTGCTAAATCACTCATGCTATGAAGACGCGACGGAAGTGGATGGATTGATATCTGAAATACACAGTGAGCTGGAAAATGACAGCAGCCTCCATGAATCCTCGATGAACTGTACTTCAAACGAAACAGTCATCCATCATGCGCCCAGTGGTCCAGTACTTTCCATTTCAGAAACATGCCCGGTAATGGAGTCAAACTCCATCAACCCCGAAACAGCATGTGCAGACAGTAACATATCCAGCTCACGAGAAGATCTCATTGTTTTGCCAGAAAATGTGTTTCACGCATCAAATAATAACCAAGAACCTGGTACAGTTTTGTTGGACGCCGATTATCATAATGCTCCACTACTTACTAAAGATTTAAACCCTAATGACCTAAGATCTGTCGCTGATCCTCACCATCTAGTCAGTCCTAGTGGACTCTCTACTCAACGCGGGAAATATGCTTCAAATAGAGTCACACTAACTGTTCCTTGGGTTTATGAAGACCCAACATTATTTCGAGGGGGAGGATAGACGCGAGAAAAATTTAAAATCCGGACATCAACTCCAGATCTCCAAAAAAGGGGAGGTGTTGGGATATTCAGGAAAATATCCCAAAAATTATCATGTTAAGTCCAATGGTGTCCTTGGACCTTAAATGTACATTTCCCATTGGTCGATATTTATTTAACGTGTTATTTTCCTGTTGGCCAATATTGTACAATGTTATTTTCTACTTTGTGGTACGATGTGGTTTGTTTGCTTGGTATATAAATAGAGTATGTTTGAAATATAATGATTCATATATCCGAGGCTGTGACTTTCGTTCTGGACTCAACTGGCTGGGTTAGACAGGGAAGCGAGACCAATCAGAACCCTAGGTCGTCCTACGTGTTTGTGCGTCTTTGGTCCGATCAATAATCCGCTATCCCTTAATCAGCAGCATTTATTTTCACGTTATAACAGAAACTGAAAGAAAATAAAGCGAATATCCGACGCTTTAACGGGGTTGGGGGATATGGAGGATCCACCTATGGAAGTTGGAAAATCATAATTCCGAACCAGTAGTATATGTGGACTTCGGGATCCTGAAGGAACAAATGGCGTATGAACCAATTATTGGTCACCAGCAACCATAGGACTGCATCTCTATACGTTGCTCTACTGTCTTGTGGATCAAACCTTTAGGTCGAAGGCTCCAGATGTGGCCCCTTCATAAAACCAACTGCTTCGGTCTAGGCACTCAAGCAGTATCATAGCCTACACATGGATCAAGTGAATTGTGTGGCACATGGGAGAATGATTGTTCATGTAAATTATTGGTTTGATTAATCAGTTATCTTATCTGAATATTGTCAGAAGGGGTTTTTGTGGATATCATAGTAAATTTAATAGTCGAGATCATGAGTCAATTGAAACTAGATGGCCGTTTCGTTTTTGTATGGGAACCCTCAGCAGTGTTAATGTCTAAATTCAATCAATTCACAAAATTGCATCACTGTCCACCATTGTCTTCAGTGGGTTATTATCTCACAATAAACCTAGTTGAACTCCACTGATCACTGCTTCTCTCTAGAACTCCAGGAGATACCTTTTTGAAGCCGATCATTAGTGAGCATATATTGATTAGTATGAGAAGGAGGGGTGTTGTGGATATTATAGTACAATTACATTCTTGTAGTTTAATATCGATCGTCTTTTTTCAGATTCCTTTACCGGTAAAAATAATTAAAGTGAGATAATAAAGCAAATCGTTCATTTATTGTAGATCATTACACATACATCTAATAATGATATTGACCTTTTAAGTTATAATAAAAATTGACTAAATGAATTCATTCAGTGAAGTTTTGCCTTTTAATGTTCTAATGGGTTAACATATATCATCTGAGTACACTGTTCAAAATTATTTTTTCTGGTTAGCGTTTTTTTCTTTTAGTGAGTTAGTTTTCTACGCGATGGAGTCGTTAACCCCATGTCTAACCCTCCTCCTTTGCCCGGGCTTGGAACTGACAGTAACTCTAGAAGAGCTAAAAGCGAATCATCGTCGAACAATCAGTTGAGTGGAACTCGTCACTGTACATCAACTTCATTGATTATGAAAAGGCGTTTGACAGTGTAGATAGAAGAATATTATGGAATCTTCTTCGACACTACGGAGTTCCTGAAAAAATGGTCAATATTATACGGAACTCATACGACGGACTACAGTGCAAGATCGTACATGGAGGACAGCTGACAGATGAATTTCAAGTAAGGACCGGAGTCAGAAAAGCCTGTCTACTCACCCTCTTCCTCTTTCTTCTGGTGGTCGACTGAATAATGAAGACCCCGACATCTGAGAGAAAACATTGAATACAATGGACAGCTCAGAACTAGTTAGACGATTTGGACTTCGCAGATGACCTAGCTCTCCTATCCCATACACATGAACGAATGCAGACAAAGACAGACAGTTTAGCAGCAGTTCCTGCATCAGTAGACCTCAACATACACAAAGGGAAAACCAAGGTCCTCAAATTCAAAACGGAGAACATCGGGAAATAGAATCAGATATGAAAAGGATGAATAACAACAGGAAAGAGCTGAAAAGGATTGCTCAGGACAGGGTTGGATGGAAAATGCCGGTGAGCGGCCCATGCTTCTTCACGAGTAACAGGCGTAAGTAAGTAAGTAAGTAACAACGTTCAAAGCAACTTTGTATTACTGTTCATTAATTTTACTGTATGATGAGTTAGTTTTCTACGAAATAAGGTCTCTAACCCCACATCCAACCCTCCTCCTTTATCCATGCTTACGACCCGGTAGTAGCCCTAGAGAGGCTCTAAGCAGAGTATGGTTATTTCAAGTTATTTTAGAAATATGAGAAATAATATTAAGTTTGAATTATTAGTCTAAATCTGGAATTATTTTTCTGGTTAGTGTTTTTCTCTAAGTGATTTATATTTTTTTGAGATGGCGTCACTAACCTCACAATTAATTGATCACTGGATGGTGATCAATGTCATGTGTGTCAAGTCCTTCTTAGTGCAGATCGAATGTTATCGACCAAGTGATCGACCCAGTGTTCAATCAATTGTGATTAGATCTCAGTCCTGCAGGAGGTCGGCCGCGGCCCGTGTGGCCCAGTGGTAAAGTCTCTGACTGTAAAGCTGGGTGACACGGGATCGGTTTCGTTAGGGAGCACCAGTTGCTTCAAGATTACAGGTACACCTTACTGACGAGTGCCAAGTAGCATGAAACCCAGATCCAGAGTTTCCTGTTGACTACCTACAACCATCGTCTTATCACTAACCCCATGCCCAATCCTCCTCCTTTATTCGGGTTTAGGACTAGCAGTATCCCCAGAGGGGCTCCAAGTGGAGTTAGTCTAAATTATTAATATGAAGTAAATAAAACACTCAACAACAAATGGGTTTTTTGCATAGAAAAACATGGTACCTCATTTAAGAAACATGGTTTAATCATGTGAGTTTTACTTGCTTATTATATCATTAAGTATTATCTATTAATGGATTGGCTTATCCTAATTGTTTTCTATATTATATGTAATAAATGTGCCAGTTTGAACAATCTGTAGTTTGGTTAAGATTTCAATTATACGAATTGGAAGTGTGAATAAGAAAGGAAAACAAAACGTTTTATGTCAGTTTACTTAATAATTAATTATTATTATTATTATAATCAGAAAGGGGAGTTTGTGAATATTATAGTAATTTAATAGATCAATTCATGTGTCGCGCGCGAGACCGTCAGGTCCTGAGTTCAAATGTCGCGAGGCGGGATCCTGGATGCTCGCTGTCGAGCAGTTCCATACTAGAACGAAATGGTCGTTCAGTGATTCTAGGTTTTCCATGGTGGTCTAGCTTCAATTGATAATGATGTAAACTAATAAAATTACTGTCATATCCACAACACCCCCTCTTCTCATACTAATCAACATATGCTTACTTCAAAAGGGATTTCCTGGAGTTCTAAAGAGAAGCAGTGATCAGTGGAGTTCAACCAGGTCTATTGTGAGATAATAACTCACTGAAGAAAATGGTAGACAGTGGTGCAATTTTGTGAATTGATTGAAGTTAGACATTAACACCGTTGGATGCCAGCCGGCTCAGTAGTCTACAGGTTAAATTTTCGCGCGTGAGAACCACAGGTCCAGGATCTAAATCTCACGAGGCGGAATCGTGGATGCTCTCTGCTTAGGGTTCCCACACTAGAACGAAATAGCCGTCCACTGCTTTCAGGTTTTCTATAGTGGTCTATCTTTAATTAACTCATGAATTCAACTAATAAATTATTGTTATTATAGTGTTTTATCCACGGATAACTATGATGATGAATCAATAAATCATATACCAGAATATCATTTTCAACATGATTTGCCTCTTGTATTTTGATTTATAAAGTGATTTTCAAAAGAGGTTTCAAAAACCTTCATCATTGCCAATAACAGAAACCTACTTATTTACTTACGCCTGTTCCATCTCATGAAGGAGCATTGGCCGCTCAACAGCACTTTGGATCAAACTCTGTCCTAGGCACTCGTTTCCACTTGCTATTTATCCTCCTCATGTCTACTTCCAATTCTCAACGCAGTGTTAGCGTTGTTTTAGCAATGTTGTTTCTGTGATATGGGATTGCTTACTCCATGCCCACTCCCTTTCTTTTACTCAGGCTTGGAATCATCAGTAACTCTAGAAGAGCGAAAGGCGGAGTTAACAATAGCAGTAAAATACTAATAAATTCAACATACAATCAAAAGTATTTATCCTTTATACTTCTTGAACTTTGAATCAATAACGTTCGTTGTTTCTCTACAGAATTACGATAGTTTAATCTAGAATGATAACAATCTATCTCTGACTCAAATTCCCCCTTGATACCTACCTCAATTTTTGTAACCAGATCATTTCCTCTCATATTAGTTTGACAACAATGAAATTTAAACTAATATCCATCATGAAATGACATTGAATAGAGAGTTATTGCACACTTACTAGTTGATTGATTCATGTTGAATAACTAGTTAATAGAGTATACTCATAATCTTGAGTAGAATAGAGTAAAGGATTTTTAAATGCTTGATATGAGCATAATGTTTATACTCCTGAGTGTATTCAGCTAAAGAATGTATTTCATTGGGCAATTCCTATCCTATAATCAGGATGAACATTTGATTGATAGTTCATCATGTCATATTGATGAATTGACTGACTTTAAGCTGACCTTATCAATGATGAAATAAAAGAAGTACTGAAGTAATCTATAGATTCATAGCAATGTATTATATCACTATTTATTTCATTAATATATTACGAAATAAGTAATATGATGTAATACTTATATGTCGGATGATGACAGAATGGATAATTTATCCGCGGGACGAATTCCTCATACTGTAGGAGTTGGTACTATGTCAAGCACACAGAGATTATTCTAGCTTCAGGACAGATTGATCTATTCATTCTTCTCAAGTCACAGTTTTACCATGTCACTTATTCGTTTAATAACCCTGACTGTATATGAGTGTATGTGTGTTAATTACTTATCCTATTGATTATATGTCTGTAACTAATTTTTATTTGATTATAACTATTGAGTTATAATTGATTAAATTGAGTTGGTTTACTGACTTTCTTCACTGGGCGTCATTTTGTTTTGTTTCGCTCTCTCTTTGATCGTCTGTTTTGCATGAAATATACATATTCGAAATCCATTCACGTATTTGACTTAATCAATTCTCAGTATAAGGGTTGTAAAGATTATTAAGTTATTGTTTCAGATCATGAACCGACTGATGTTAGACCATCATTGAAAACCTGGAAGCACGATGCCGCTCGCGGGATTCGCACATTGTTGAGGAGTCCCACAATAGGACGAAACGGCCGTCCAATGCTTACAGGGTTTCAGATCAATCGGTTCATGATTTGAATCAAAAACTTAATGAACTCTGTTATTCCCTAAC